GACAGGGACAGTGGCCTTTGCCTGCGGCACGATGGAGCCCCGGCCCCCGCGCTGGGCTCAGCCGTCCTTGGGCACAGATACTGGCGTGAAAAGGAGGAGGGGAAAAAAAAAGTATTTTGTTTCTTTTCCGTTCTGCAGATCACTGTGAATCCTGCCCGCTCAGCCCTGCCCCCCTCCAGCCCTGCGGGACCCCCTGCCCTGCCAAAGAGCCCGCGCTGGCCTGGCCGGGCCCTGCTGCCCGTCCCTGGGGACGTGTCCCCGAGTGGGGCACGGCCTCCAGTGCGCAGCGGGAGGTGCCACATGTCCCCAGAAGGGCCGTGCCAGGCCCGGGCCCGTCCCGGGGCAGCGGGGCCGTGCCGGGTGCTGCCGGCCGGGGCACGGCAGGGGATGCGGGCAGGTGGCGCTCACCGGGGGTGGCACCCCCCAGTCTCTCCACCGGGTGCCGGGGAGGGGACAGCGTGGCTGCTCTGCCCTGGCACCCCGCAGACCCCGCTGCACCCCACAAACCCAGCCCGGAGAGGCGCCGGGGGCTGGAGGGGCCCGGAGCAGGGTGACAGCCGTGACACCGGGTGACAGCTGTGACACCCGGGGTGCCACCCCCGCTGCTCCCGGCAGTGCCGGGGGTCCCTGGGCAGCCCTGGGGACCCTCACCCCCCCGGGGCACCCCGCTCAGAGCCACCCCATCAACCGGGTCCAGGGGAGCCCCTTCGGCACGGCCACCCCGGGGGGGCTGGGGAGGGCGCCAGGCGCTAATTAGTGCTGGGGTTAATTAATGGTCATTCTGCTTGTAGCTTTTTCAGTGTGTGTTTGGTTACTGTCTCTGGGAACCGTGTTTGAACAGATGGCTCTGTGTTACCGGGAGTGTGTGTACTTCTGTAGTCTAGTTAGGTGCTCTGCCAGAAAACCACCACTATACATACCTATAAATATATACATATATAGTCTATTTTAAGTTAAAAACCAATGAGACGAACGGGCGGCGTGGCCCCGGGCCCCCCGTCCCGCCGGGGTCACCTCCTGCCCTGTCCCCACCCAAAAGCTTCTCTCTCTGCTCATTCAAAGGCATTGGGTTTTTAATTGATTTTCTTTAATTTATTTTTAATTTCTTTTGGTTTCTTTCTTTTTTTTTTTTTTTGTACAGAAGAGTTGGAAAACTAAAAAAAAAAAAACCAACAAAAAGACGATTTGTAAGATATCGTGCGTGTGACTCCTTGTAAAATATTTTCAAATGGTTTATTACAGAGACTCAGTTATTAAATAATGTTCATATTTTCACTTCACAGGCGGTGGCTGCGTCATTGCCCGGGGCCGTGGGCACGGCTGGGGGGGCACAGCACGGGGGGGTGGGCACAGGATATCGGGGGGCTCTGCCAGGTGCGACACTGCCCTCACCCCTGCTGCACCTCGGGGGGCAGGGACACGGCACAGGGACAGCGCAGCGCCGGGGGCTCACAGAGCCCGCTCGCTGCACAGAGGGCCGGGGGCTCAGGCCCCCATCTTCCAGTGTCCCCGCAGGACCGTGTCACCCTGCCCACGCCCCACTCAATGCCCGTGTCCCCGCACCCGGGTCCCCCTGTTGCCGGGGTCAATGTCCCCGAGTGTCCTCCGTGCCAGCCCGCCCGTGTCCATAGCCCCGTTTCCCGGGGTTTCTGCCCCCCGTGTACGCACCCCCATGACTGCGACCTTCATGCCCCATAACCGTGCTCCGCCACCCCTCTCCTCCACGTCCCGCCGTGTCCCTCCCCCGTCCGTGTGCCTCGTTTGTCCCATGTCCTCCCCTTTCGTGTCGCTGTCTCCCCTCCGTGTCCGTGTTCCCCCGTGTCCCCCGGCCGTGTGTCCCGTGTCGCCCCGCGCTGCCAACGTGGCCGGACTACAAGTCCCGGCGTGCCCCGCGGCGCCCCGGCCCCGCCCCCGCGGCAGCCACGCCCCGGCGCCCCCGTTCCGCGCATGCGCAACGGTCCTGTTTGTCCGCGCCCGGCCTGGCCCAGCGGAGGGTCCGAGCGCGGCCTGGCCCGAGGCGGCGGCGGAGGGAGAGAGCGGGGCCGGGGCCGGCCGGGGGCCGCGCGGGGCCCGGCGCGGGGAGGCGGGCGGGTGGGGCCGGGCAGCCCCCGCGGGGCCGCCCCGTCCCGCCCGCGGGGCCGAAGATGCGGCGGTACCTGCCGGTGGCCCGGCAGCACTTCCTGGCGGCGCTGGCCGGCACCAGCGTGGTGGTGAAGTCGCTGAGCGCCGCCGCGGTGCTGCTGTACCTGCTCTCCTTTGGGCTGGACACGGCCTACGGGCTGGGGGTGACGCCCGGCTACCTTCTGCCCCCCAACTTCTGGGTGTGGACGCTGCTGACGCACGGGCTGGTGGAGGAGCGCGCCTGGGGGCTGGCGGCCAGCCTGGCCACGCTGGGCACGGCCGGGCGGCTGCTGGAGCCCCTCTGGGGCGCGCTGGAGCTGCTCGTCTTCTTCGCCGTGGTGAACATCTCCGTGGGGCTCCTGGCCGCCCTCGCCTACTTCCTCACCTATGTGGCCTCCTTCCGCCTCCACTATCTGTTCGCCGTCCGCATCCACGGCGGTCTGGGCTTCCTCGGGGGGGTCTTGGTGGCCCTCAAGCAGACGATGGGGGACAGCACCGTACTGAAGGTGCCTCAGGTCAGAATGAAGGCTGTCCCCATGCTCCTGCTCCTTCTCCTGGCTCTGCTGCGGCTCGCTGCCCTCGTCGAGAGCAATGTACTGGCCTCGTACGGCTTCGGGCTCCTCTCCAGCTGGGTCTATCTCCGCTTCTACCAGCGGCACAGTAGAGGCCGCGGAGACATGAGCGACCACTTCGCCTTCGCCACTTTCTTCCCCGAGATCCTGCAGCCCGTGGTGGGTCTGGTGGCCAACCTGGTGCACAGCGTGCTAGTGAAGGTGCGGGTGTGCCGCAAGACCGTCAAGCGCTACGACGTGGGTGCCCCGTCCTCCATCACCATCAGCCTGCCGGGGACGGACCCCCAGGACGCCGAGAGGAGAAGGTACCGCCTGCCCTGCCCTGCCCGTAGGGATCGCGTTTAGGGACAGCGAGGGTACGGTTTAAAATCCAGCCAAGGAGGAGGGGGGAGATGTAGGTTCAGGGGCGCAGGAGGGGCCTTCTTCATGTGGTCTGCCACGGAGGTGGTGAGGAGCATTTCAGGGAGCTGGTGGGGCATTATCCTCCTCTTCCAGATGTGGGGCAGCAATGGAAGGGCAGGGGGAATCCTGGGAAAGGGGCAGACAAGGTATGGGGTTCCTGCAGAAGAAAGGAGGACAGTCTGGGACAGTGACACCCTATGTTTGTGGCAGCCTTCCACCAGTTCACCCTGGCCCAGGGGAGGGCAGTGAGTCAGCCCCACACTCCAGCGCAGCCAGCACTGGCCTTCCTGACTCCTGGCAGGAGGGTTTGGACAGGGAGCTGGCACTCCCTTTTTCCTGCCCTGCTTTATGCCTTTATTCCCCATTCCCGGAGCTGCCCTCGTGTTGCACCACGTAGCATGAAAACTCCGTGTGAGTAGTCTGTGAGCCAGAGTGCATTTCTGTGGAGCAGTCCCAGGCGCTCCAGGTTTTCCCCAGCGCTGCTGAACCCACCCTTTCCTTCTGGGAGGAAGCCAGGGACTGACTTGCTCATTGCCCGATGGGGCAGAGCCGCTGTCCCGGGTTAACCTGCCCACGTACCCTTGTCCTGCAGGCAGCTGGCCCTGAAGGCTTTGAACGAGCGGCTGAAGCGCGTGGAGGACCAATCAGCCTGGCCCAGCATGGAGGATGATGATGAGGAGGCAGCAGCAGCAGCGAAGGCCAACAGCCCACTGCTGCCCGAGCCCAGCACGGCCGGGAAGAGCCCTGGCCAGGAGTCCAACCTCATCAGCTTCCAGGACGCCCCGGCCCAGCTGTGAGCGGCCCCTTCCCGCCCTGTCTCCGTGTGAGAGCTGCTAATCCCCCTCGGGTCCCCCTGGCCGGGGGCGGGGACTCCTCCCGCGGCACGGGCAGGGGGATACCTCATTCCAACGCTTCGCTGCTGCTGCTGCTCGCGGCCAGCACCAGGCACCCGGGACAGTGACACTGCCACCACCGTGAGGACAGGGATTCCTGGAGCCACCCCCCCAGCCGGGGCAGGCCGTGGAGTCGGTGCAGGCAGCGGGAGCTGTTCTGGGAGAGGGACACGGGGCTGATCCCTGCCCCAAGCCGCTGTGCTGGCCCTCGTGGGATCGAAGTCAGCTTCTCCTCTGTGCCAGGGCTTGGCCAGAGCACTCAACACATATTTTCTCCTTTCTGAAGGTAGTTTTGTCCCTAACCGAGGCAATGGGAAGGCTGGTGGGTTTCTCTTCTGAAGGTCTTTCCCGTGGGGAGCCTCCCCCCACCCCAGCAGGAGCTCACCAGGGCCGGTGAGAAGTTTGTTGGGTAGGAGGGGACAGGACCCTGGGCAGGAGGAGGCCACCCAGCCCCTCGTGGTGGTGCTCCAGCACTGCCAGCTCCAGGCTTTCATGGTGGGGATTCCTCCTTCCTCTCCTGCCCCCTCCCCCTGTGAGGAGCTGCTGCCCTTGGCTGCTCCCCGGCTAATCCGTTTGCCAGATTACACTAGAAGCTGGAATTAATTTTACAGTGGGACTCTAGCTGCTTCCTCTGGCAGCAGGTTTTCTTTCCTGCAGGTAGAATGTGGGCTCCCCCTTTCTTTTCCCTCCCTCTTTGTTGATGGAGTTTTTTTCCTGGATGGAGAGGATGCTCCCTGTGACAGCCTCCACCGCTCCTGATCCAGTGGGCAGTTCCCAGCCCTGGATATGGATCAGCAGTGTCATGATTATTTTTTTAAAGGACCACACGAGAAGGTTTTGTCAAATGGGAAGAACACAGACCTTTGGGTATCAATAAAGAGTTCTTTGAAAGCGCTGGCTCCTGCAGCAGAGCACGGGCAGGGTGGGAACCCAGCCCAGAGCAGCCCCTGGGGGCTCTTGTCAGGAGGTGGGGAGGGGGTTTCTTCCCAGGTGCTCCCAGCAGGGAGACATGTCTGCCTGCACCCCAAAAGTCATCCCACCCAAGAAGTAAAGAGGGCTTGTTGCACTCTAGCTGCCTGAAATTTTTATTGAATAAAAGCTCTGGATACAGAGGAATTTATCAGCCTGGGAGCTGCTCCCAGCTCTCCAGCCCTGCCAGGAGCAGGATGCGTGGAAGGAAGGCTGCTGTGCCAGCAAGGAGGTTTCTTCCTACCTTCCCAAGGGTTCATTGCCCAGGTCTGTGCCTCCCCCCGTGCTCACACTGTTCCCTATGCCTTGCTGGCTGTAAGTTCACAGCCCGGCTCAGTAATCTGCTCTGTAAACTGACCCCACCCCGGCAGGCAGAGCCCAGCCCACGGAGGAGGGGTTTGTGCATGGCAGTGGGTGTCCAGACCCAGGCCCTTGGGGCAGAGCTGCCTGCTCTGGTCCCAGGAACTGCCCGTGCCATGGGGACACACCTGCTGCTGTACCGTTGCTCGGGTGCCACCACCCTGCCCCAGCCCTGCCAGGCTGAAGCCACAACCGTGCCCTGTGCTTTCCTGTCAAGCTGCCCCCGTGGCAGGAGAGGCAGCGTGGTGCCTGCTGCAGCCCCTGGGAGAGAAGGGACTCCCTGCCCTCCTCACCAGGATGGCTCCTGCCTTGCCTGCTCCAAAGCAGCCCTGCATGGGAAGGGAAAAGAAGCAGGAATCCTGAGTGAGCCCTCCATTTCCCAGCACTGAGCACCAAGCTGCCACAGGGACTGGCAGCTTTACCTGTGCCAGGGAACATCCCCGCCGAGGCAGGGGTGAGGTGTCACACACATCTGGAGCAGCTGCTCCCCAGGGACAAGACACTACGGACAATCCAGGACTAAGGAAAGACGAGTAGGTAGAAACCAAGTTCCAAGGAGACCCTGTGCGAGCAGGGGGGCTGCCAGCTCTCTCCAAAGGGAGGCCCAGCTCGCTTTGGGAAGTTCAGGTCAGCACCAAGCCCTCAGTGCTGGCTGCGCTTGCGGTACAGGTACGCATTGCTCACCTGGTTCATGATAACCAGGCTGGTGACGAGGGGACACAGCATGGCGAGGTACCACAAGGCACCGGTCACCGTGGTGGTGAACCAGAGGGAGCACATGCCCAGCATCAGGCTGGCACAGCCCAGCAGGTAGCCCACCAGCCCTGAGGTTGCGTGGTACAGCTTCAGCTTGGCCAGAGTCCAGTTCTTCATCAGCTTGGGGTAGAGCAGGAGCACACCCCCGGCGCACTGCCCGCCGGCGTACAGCACGGCCAGCAGCCCCGTCAGCCCGTGCCAGGTCACAAAGTGGCCCTTGCCGTTCAGGTGCTTGTTGTAGGTAATGATTGCCAGCCCCAGGAGCGCGCAGAGCAGGGCGAGCAGCTGCAGGGCCCAGTGCACCCGCACTCGCACCTTGCGGGAGAAGGAGCGCAGCAGCGAGGTCTCCGGGGAGAAGATCAGCAGCGCTTCCGTCATCAGGAACGAGAACTGGGGGGCAGAGGGCAGCGCCATTGGCACCGGATAAACCGGGGCTGGGCACCCACCGCCCGGGGCTCAGCCTCCCGTCACCCGGGGGCTCCCGGGGCTCGGCACCCACCACCCAGGCACTCCGCCGGCAGCGGGCGGTGACCGGGCAGTGGCACTTACCGCGAGGGCCATGAGCAGCGGGTGCCAGGAGAAGAGACCTGGAAGGGAAGCGCAGGGTGAGGTGAGCTGAGACATCCGGCCCTCCCCGCGCCCCGGGCCCCGGCCCCGCCGGCACTCACTGGATCCGGGCCGCGCCAGCACGGCCACGGCGGCGGGGAATCCCAGTGCCACAAGGTGCGCGGCGGCGCCGGAGGCCACGCGCAGCGAGCGGTACAGACGGGACTCGGTTTCGGCCGTCAGGGCCATGTTGGCCGGGCGGGCGGAACCGCCGCTGCCGACATGGCCGGGCCGCGGCGCGGGCTCCGATTGGCTGAGGCGAGCTGTCCGTCAGCGCTAAGGCCCGCGTCGCCGCGCTGCGCCGCCCTGAGTGGCGGGAAGTGCTGTCGCTCAGTGTGAGGGCCCGCCCCCCGCGCGGCCGTGACTCCGCGGCAGCGGCGCTACGGTGGCCGGCGGGGCTGGGCCGCTCGCGTCCCGCTATGGGTGGCCGCATCGAGTGCGTGTTCTTCAGCGAGTTCCACCCCACGCTCGGACCCAAAATCACCTACCAGGTGCGGGGCGAGCCGCCCGGGACCCGCGGCGCCTGCCCGCGGCGGGGGCTGGGACTGGGCCGTCGGGAAAGGGAAGGGGGCAGGGACAGCGGTGGTGGGCGCTCCCCGGAGCGGGACGGGCTCGGCTGGAACGGAGCCTCCTGTGCCGCCGCAGGTCCCCGAGGACTTCATCTCCCGGGAGCTGTTTGACACCATCCAGGTGTACGTGATCACGAAGCCCGAGCTGCAGAACAAGCTGATCACCGTGTGAGTGCGGGCAGAGCCCCGTCCCTGCCCGGGAGCCGCTGTCCCGCCGGGCCCGGTGCGGAGTACAGCTCGGTGGGGAGCGCAGCTCGGTGCACAGCACGGCTCGGTGGGGTGGCACTGCCAGCCTTGGGCTCCTGCCTCGGGGCCAGCGGGGTCACTGCGGTGTCCCCAGGTACCCGTGCACAGGGTGGGCGGTCACATTTGGGAGTGGCTGGTACTGCATCTGCTGCTCCGCCAGTCTTAAATGCAGGAAGGTCAGATCAGTCAGGAGGGCTGTGCTGGTTTCCAAAGGAGACAGTTTCCTTTACTGAGGGCTGACCCTTTCCTCCCCACTCTCCCTTCAGCCTGTGCTTTGCACTCTGAGCATGTAGGGCATAGGCATCATTTTTCCTGCTAAAGCCCCTACCTGCAGAGCCGACTGGGAGCCATCCCTGTGGGGGACTTAAGGCTGCCTGAGGGCGCAGGTGCAGGTCACAGGTGTCCCCACAGGACGGCCATGGAGAAGAAGCTGATCGGCTGCCCCGTGTGCATCGAGCACAAGAAGTACAGCAGGAACGCTCTGCTCTTCAACCTGGGCTTTGTGTGTGATGCCAGAGCCAAGGCCTGCGCGCTGGAGCCCATCGTGAAGAAGCTGGCTGGCTACCTCACCACCCTCGAGGTGAGGCTGGACACAGCCAGGCTGCCTCCCCACCCACCCCACAGTGCATGGGCACCTCTGCAGGGTCCTGGAGACGTGGGGGCCACTGGGCATTGTTGGGATGGGGGCTGGATTTACACTGAGGAGGGGATTGTGCTGCTGGTTTCCTACAGATCAGTTCTAAACAGGAACAGGATCTGGGCTGCTGTAGGCAGTAATCCTGTGGGGAGCAGCTGACTTGACTTTCTGCTCTCTTCAGCTGGAAAGTGGATTCATCTCCAATGAGGAGAGTAAACAGAAGCTGGTTCCCATCATGACCATCCTGCTGGAGGAGCTGAATGCCAAAGGGAAGTGCACCCTGCCCATAGGTACATCGAGGACAGGGCTGTGCTGGGAGACATTCCCTGCCCAGGCTGTCTCTGCCTGTGCTGCTCCCTGCAGCTCCTTGCCTGTCTGTGCTTGGATCTGGGGGTGTCTGGGCCAGCCTTGCCCTACCTGGCTCCAGGGGATGGCTGCAAACACCTTGTTGTGTATGCCATTGTGGTGTGCTGGGATTGATGGTTGCAGGCTCCTGAGGGAGCACTGTTCTGCATGGAGACTGAGCCTTCCCCTTTTCCCGGGCAGATGAGTCCAACACCATCCACCTGAAGGTGATTGAGCAGCGCCCAGACCCCCCCATCGTGCAGGAGTACGATGTCCCTGTCTTCACCCAGGACAAGGATGACTTCTTCAACTCCCAGTGGGATCTCACCACGCAGCAGGTTCGTGTGATTAACACTTTGAATGGGATCTTTTTCCAGACCATCAGGGGGGTTGGGCTGCCCTGGAGATCCCCACATTTATGAGCACAGTTTGGTGCTGCCCTCGGCTTTGTGCTTTGGCCTGTGAGCAAATCATTCACCAGCACAAGGTGAAAGCGCACCTGGGGATGGAGCCTGCCCTTCCCAGCAGCTCCCAGATCCAGGGGAGCTGCTTGGGCTCCAGGCTGATGCCTCAGTCCTCTCTGCCCTTTCCCTCCTGCCTCCCCCTCCCAGATCCTGCCCTACATCGATGGATTCCGGCACGTCCAGAAGATCTCGGCCGAGGCCGACGTGGAGCTGAACTTGGTGCGCATCGCCGTGCAGAACCTGCTGTGAGTGCCCCCCTATACAGAACCTGCTGTGAGTGAGTGCCCCCCGTCCAGGGGCTGCTGTGAGTGAGTGCCCCCCTATACAGAACCTGCTGTGAGTGAGTGCCCCCCATGCAGAACCTGCTGTGAGTGAGTGCCCCCCGTGCAGGGGCTGCTGTGAGTGAGTGCCCCCCATGCAGAACCTGCTGTGAGTGAGTGCCCCCCTATACAGAACCTGCTGTGAGTGAGTGCCCCCCTATACAGAACCTGCTGTGAGTGAGTGCCCCCGTGCAGAACCTGCTGTGAGTGAGTGCCCCCCTATACAGAACCTGCTGTGAGTGAGTGCCCCCCGTGCAGGGGCTGCTGTGAGTGAGTGCCCCCCATGCAGAACCTGCTGTGAGTGAGTGCCCCCCTATACAGAACCTGCTGTGAGTGAGTGCCCCCCCCAGCAGGGGCTACTGTGAGTGAGTGCCCCCCGTGCAGGGGCTGCTGTGAGTGAGTGCCCCCCGTGCAGGGCTGCCCGGCCCAGGGGGGTGGGGGCTGCCACAGGGCTCCTCTCACCCTTCCCTGTCCATTGTAGGTACTACGGGGTCGTCACTCTCGTCTCCATACTCCAGGTGGGTCGGGCCGTGGGGCTGTGAGGGGATTTGGGCAGTGGCAGGGTTGGGGTGGGCCAGGCCTGTCTGTCAGAGCTGCAGCTGAGCAGAGCTGCTTTTCCATCACCCTCCAGTACTCCAATGTCTACTGCACCACACCCAAGGTCCAGGACCTGGTGGATGACAAGTGCCTCCAGGAAGAGTGTCTGTCCTATGTCACCAAACAAGGTACAGTGACCCTGCCTGGGGATGCTGGCCCAGGTATGGGGACAGGGCAGCTGAATGGTGACTTGTCCTTGCAGGGCACAAGCGAGCCAGCCTCAGGGATGTCTTCCAGCTGTACTGCGGGCTGAGCCCTGGCACCACCGTGCGAGACCTCATCTCCCGCTACACCCTGCAGCTCCAAAGGGTGGATGAGAGGTCAGAGCCCTCCTGATCAGTCCCTGAGGGCAGTGGTGGCACTGGGAGTGGCAGAGACAGGGAGCAGGAAGTACTCAACCCTGTGTCTGTAGGGTAGGAACCATGAGGCAATGGTGGGGCATGTGGAACAGAAGGGAATGTGGGGAGCTGGGGCATTTGGCACCTTGGGATCGCGGTCCCATCTCTTTGCTCCTCGTCCCCAGGAGGCTGATCCAGTTTGGTTTGATGAAGGGCCTGATCCGGCGGCTGCAGAAATACCCAGTCAAGGTGGCCCGGGACGAGCGCAGCCACCCCGCCCGGCTGTACACGGGCTGCCACAGCTACGACGAGATCTGCTGCAAGACTGGTACGGATCCCTAGGGCCACAGGATCCTCTGCTCCGTGTGTGTGCACCCCAGGGCTGCTGGGAGACACGGGCACTTCTGCCTGCCCACAGCTGGGCACTGGTCCTGGGTTCTTGCCCCTCTGGGAGCCTTCAGACTGCAGGGAGACAGGACTGTGGGCCAGGCTCTTCTCCAAGCCAGGCTGTCGAGCCCATGTTGCCAGGGGCAGGGCTTGGGGACTTCACCCAGCCTCTGACACCACTGCCAGGCGCCCCCCACTGACCCCACACTGACACCCTACTAACACCCCACTGCCTTACTCCCCAGGCATGAGTTACAAGGAGCTGGATGAGCGCCTGGAGAACGACCCCAACATCATCGTGTGCTGGAAGTGACGCAGCCCTCTCTAGAGCTGTGTCCCCTCACGTGTGCCCGGTGTGTCCCCCGCTGTCCCCGCCACGTGTGCCCGCTGGCCGCGGCCGCTCCTCCGCGCCGCCAGGGGGCAGCACCGCCCGCCCCGCCCCGCGCTGCCGCCGGCCCGCCGCGAGTCCTCCCCGCCGCCAAGGGGCGCTGTCGGCGGCGCCGTTGCCACAGCGACGCGGACGCCATGGCCGCCGTGCCCGGGCCGCTGCCGCCCGCCGAGGCCGAGGCGCTGGTGCGAGCCCTGCAGGGCTCCGAGCTGCGCGACATCGGCGGGCAGGGGTGCGGGGACACGGCCGTGGGGTGTTTATAGGGGGAGAACATGAAAGAGGGACTTTAAATGTGGGGAGTCCCCTTTGGGGCTGTGGGAGCACAGGAGGGAGCCCAGTTTGGGGCCTTCCCAGGGGTCACGGTGGGGGTAAGGAGGGGTTCCCAGAAGGTTTTGGGTAGGCAGGAGGAGTCCTGGTTTTGAGGTGGGGTGAGAGAAGGGTCTGCAATTCTGGAGCGTTCCTGGAAGGACTGGGGGAGATTGGAGGGCCCAGGGTGAGGAGGGGTCCCAGATGTAGGTGTCTGTGAGGGTGGGGGTGATGGAGGGGCTCCCCCTGGTTCTGTGGTGTCCCTGCTGACAGAGGGTGCTGTGGGGGCAGCAGGGCTGTCCGGGGAGCTGCAGCCTCCGGCTCAGGGCACACACAGCGTGGTTTCCCTGCCTAAGGGAGCCTCGCCAGGGCAGCCCCCAGAGCTCTGTGGCACTGGTGTCCCGCTGGCTGCCCCCCAGATGGCTTCGGCAGCACGAGTACGTGGAGAAGCTCAACATGCACGGCATTCTGAGCGCCTCAGCGGGCCAGGAGCAGCTCCTCACCGAGCTGCTGGTCAGCCATGCCAAGGTGAGCCTCCCTGGGTGCAGGAGTGATCCCTGTGCTGGCCCTCAGCCTCCAGCTGGGCTTGCCCTGTGGGCAGTGTGTGCAATTTTGGAATAAAATGCTGAATAATGTGTTATATCTCTGGAAAAGATGTTTGACTGGTGGTGTGCCAGTTTTGTTTTTTAAAAAAATTAAAGGTCAAGCTGTGGTATTTCTACTTGCTGGTGTCTGGTTTCTCTCTTGGAGGTTGTTTTGGTCTCCTTGATGCACTGGTCCCTCCGGTTGCAGATCTCTGCCCTATGCCTGAGGGGTCCCAGTCCCAGGCTGTGAGGTTGCCTGGACCTGCCCAGCTCCTTGGGGTCACCTTCCCCTCTGCAGCCCCAGGAGCTGTGCCCTGCAGTGAGAAGCTGCTGGCTTCTGAGCTGGAAGAGTTCAGAGCCACCCCCAGAGCCACCCTCCTCCCTGGGTGACTCCAGTGGGGCTGACCATGAGCAACAAACTGGTTCCTGCTGCAGCCCTGGTCTGAAAGGCCTCACTTCCCCATCCCTTCCCTGTCTAGATTCCTGTTCTCATTGGGGAGCTGATCTCTGTGGAGATCTGGAAGCACAAGATCTTCCCCGTGCTGTGCCGGCTGCAGGACTTCAAGCCGAGAAGCACCTTCCCCATCTACGTGGTGGTGAGTACAGGGGGCGCTGGGAGCCAGCCTGAAAATGGGCCAGGCACAGCTCTGCTGGAAAATAAATGTCACCCTGAAGGTCTCAGAGCTGAGGTGGGCAGTGGGACACAGTGGGAAGGGCCTGGTTTCCCAGAACCCATACAAGCCCGTGCCCTTGCCCCAGGAGGGACAGGGACTCACTCCCAGGGAAGCTTTGTGGCTTTCTGGAGAGCTGTCCCCTCTCTGATCCCACACAGGGGCTTGCAGGAGCTGCTGGGTGCAGCAAAAGCCATTCCTGGAGGCAGCTGTGCTCCTGGCTGTGGCTCCCTGGGGTGTTTTTTTCCTCTCTCTGAGCACTGTTTTTCTCTAGCCAGGGGCTCTCCAGTCTCATGTGCCTCGGGGCTAACAAAAATGTAACTTTTTCTTACTGAGCTCCTGGGACCAGTGGTCCCTTGGGCCATTCTTGGCAAAGGAATGATCTCCAAATCTAGGCTTCCTTGTAGAGTGATACAGCCCTTGACCTAAGGAACATCTCCCTGAGGCTTGGAGGTTTTAACCCATTTTCAGTCCAGAGTAACACTTTGCAGGGGCAAGGTGGTGTCTTCCCTGAGCAGCTGATTGCCTCAGGGCAGCTATTCCATAGCTCCCAGTCCTGGACAAGGCTGTCTGCCCCAGGCCCAGGGCCTGGAGGAGCACAGCCCTGCAGAGCACTGCCCCATCTCAGGCACCGGTTCCAGAGCCTGCAGCGTGCCCGAGGGCCGTGGCTGTCCTGCCCCTGCAGCACAAGCTGAAGAGCCCTGGCTGCTGGGAAGTGTGGCTCCATTGGCATGGTGGAGTGTCACAGGCATGTCAGCATAAATATTAACATGAACTGCATTAACTGGAGCTGATTTGAAGGTTGCATCACTTGTATCTTTCTCTTTGGCCACAGCTACATAAGCAGCTTCTCAGAAGAGCCCTTTTCCCTGTCCCAGTGCTGCTCCACTGTTACTCACAGTTGCCATTCTCCTCCCACAGCTGCACCATGAAGCCTCCATCATCAACCTCCTGGAGACGGTGTTCTTTCACAAGGTGAGAGGCAGGTTCAGCTTTCCCAGGTGGGAAAGCCCCTGGGGGTGGAACACTGTGGGGGCTGACGCTGTGTGAGCCCCTTGTGGCTGTGCAGGAGATCTGTGAGTCAGCCGAGGACAGCATCCTGGACCTGATCGATTACTGCCACCGCAAGCTGACCCTGCTGGCGGCCCGGAGCACCACGGCACCAGCAGCAGAGCTCCCTGCTGAGCCTCTGGCCAGCCCCTCGTCCATGCAGGTGAGGAGAAAGCCCTGGAGCTCCCTGGGCACAGGGAGGCCTTTCCATGGGTTGCAGCCCTGGCACCTCCTGCCCACCTCAGGGTGTCTGGTGCTTCTCTGTGCCTGCACCCACCCCCCTCCACTCTGCCCTGCCTGCTGCTAGTGCCAGCCTGAGGCTTCCTGCAGGACATGCTCAGAGCTCTGGGGTGTGACACGCTGGAGAGTTGGTGGGCAAAATATTCAAGAGGGGTTTGGCCATTTGCTGTTGCTCTCAGAAGCTGTGTGGATATCTCTCCCTGAAGTTTGGGAAGCCACCCCGGCTCAGGCTGCCAGTATAGCCAGCCAGGGTTAACCATGAGAGAATTCTCCTAACAACAAGGAATTGTCCTCATGTCCTTCCCCCAGCTTCCTTTATTCCCTGTGAAACAGCTCCTCTGAGCTGGCCCGGGCCAGCAGAAATCCCAGAGCTTCCCCAGTCAGGTATTCCCAGGCTGACACACACACCCCTTCCCAGAGCAGGAGCTGTCTTTGGCTCTGGTGCTCCTCAGCACCTGGAGCTGCATAGCAGGAGGAGTATCTGGGAGAGCAGGGTTAAAGGCAGAGCCTGGAGCTCCCCTCGCCTCCATCCTTTGGCTTGCTGCCCAAGCACATACTTCTCTCTCAGAAAAGGGAAGGAAGTGGAGGGATCTGGAGCACAATAGGGATGTTTTCCAGGAAATGTTTTCCCAGCTGGGGAGGGGAAAGGGGTGTCTCTGTTACTGCTTTTGACACGAACACAAAAACCCAGGCCTTTTCTAGCCAATAGGATTCTCAAAAGCACTCATCTTCCAGAGAGCCTGGTTTCCGCTGATTCATTCCAGCCTCTCCTGACCCTGTGTACAATAACCCCTGTGAAAAAGCTGTTCCTGCCATCTCCTGGGCTGTGGACCCTGTTGTCCTTTGAAACTGTGTATGGTGGTAACCCCTGTTCTGTTGTCCCCTCGAAGCACAGACAAAAGACAGTCCCTGTCTCAAGGCAGCAGAGATGAGGCCTGGATACAAGGAGGAGCTGTGGGACAAACCTCATTAGGGCAATTTGGAGAGGGAGGAGGCAGGGGAGAGCCCACAAGGCTCTCTTAGTAACTGTGGGGCACCAGCACAGGGAGCACAGAGCTGCTGCCCACAGGAATCTGGACAGCAACTGTTGCAGTGGCTTTTTGGAGAAATACAGGAAGCTGAGGTCAGAGCTCTGTACACCAAGTGTGAGCTGCATCTGGGGCTGGAGAGAAGCTCTGCCTGAGCCAGGAGAAGGACTTGGCACCTCTGAGAATGGCCCTGCCCTGGTCTCAGAGAGGCTGAGTCAGAGTGCTCAGGCTGATGGGGGATGAGGGGAAGGGAAGGACCTGGGTGGCTGCAGAGCATGGCACAGCTGAGGGCTGGGATAACCACAGCAGATATTCGAGTTGGCTGTTCCCAAGCTGGAGGGAAGAGGCAGATCCAGGAGGGGTGGGTGCAGGACTGCAGCTGCACCAGGGCCAAGTTTCTCCTTCCTCTTCCTCCTCCTCTGGTTCCTCTGCTGATCATGCAGCTCCTCCCTCCTTCAACCCTCGCAGGTCTCCACAGGGCCATGGGCCACAAGATGGTCCCAGAAAGGGAGAGAGGCAAAATTTGGGGCCAGCCTCTTTCAGGGGGTGTTTTTGTGCAGGAGCACTGCAGTCAGTAGCCACCCACGACCTGTTAGGGACAGGGACATGAGGGCAGAGCAGCTCTGGGCTGCAAGCACTTCTGTGGCTGTGCTGGCAAACAGGCAGTGCTGGCACAGTTGGGACAAGAAACTTCTTCGGGGCTCTGTTTTCCTACCCAGACTGTGGTTACCAGTGCCTGCCTCTCTGTAGCTCCTGGGAAATGGGCCCTGAAATCCCAACCAAGGCTGCTCCTGTCCCTCCACAGGAGCTGCAGAAGCAGGCAGAGGTGATGGAGTTTGAGATTTCCCTGAAGGCTCTGTCCGTGCTGCGGTTCATCACTGACCAGCTGGACAGGTAGGTGCCCAGGAGCAGCAGAAAATGTGCCCAGCTCTCCAGATGGGATTCCAGATGGGTCAGGAGGGTCCCTGGACCCCCTTCAGCAGCTGGCTGTGTCCACAGTGGCAGTGGCACTCTGTGCTCTGGGAGGAAACACAGCAGCAATCCACCCTGCTCCATGCTACTCCTGGGAACTCAGATCATTGTTCCTTTCCTGCCTCTCCCAGCTGCCTCAGGGAGCATTTGTAGATACAAATTCTGGCATTAATCTGTGAGTGCCATTTCTCCCTTTCTGTCAAACCTCCAGTTTGCCCCTGAGTGCACTGACACGGATGCTGAACACCCACAACCTGCCCTGCCTCCTTGTCGAGCTGGTGGAGCATTGCCCCTGGAGCTGCTGGGAAGCAGGTATGGATCATGCCCCCTGGTCTGTGGGACACTGTGCTGGGATGTGCATCCACTGGGATCTGCTGTAGGAGCCCCTGCAGAGCTGTTCCCCCTCCAGCTCCTCAGTGCTCCCTGCCTGGAGCTGTTCAGCTCAGAGCAGCTGCAGCACAGCTGGGCTGGGGACCTGGCAGTGCTCCCAGACAAAGGCTGATCCTCACACAGGGCTGGGTCTCCTGTGAGTGATCACAGCCAGCACTGGAGTGTAGCACCTCAGCCAGCCCCACGTGCTCCTCTGAGGAGTCTTCTGCACACAGAAAGACCAGAGTGCCCATCCCAGCTTCTCTGCACTTTTTGGGGCAGCACTCCCTAGAGCTGGATGTGGTCTCCCCCAGGCAGCAAACATTGCCCTGGTTGTGCTGCTGGTCCCTGAGGCTGGTCCCAGGTTGCCAGAGGCCCCTGGTCAGGCTGTGCCCATTGGCCATGGTGCCCCAGCTCTGCAGCCAGGCACAGCCCCCAGAGCCCCCCTGAG